AATCCTGAGACCATTTAAGCAGGCTGCAGAGCTGCTGTATTATCTTATAGCTGATCGTATATGTCCAGTACGATCCAATAACTTTATTACTATACGGGTGATCAAGAATTATACGGAAATTGATGTGTCGTAGACAACTTGAGCGCCACATATGGTAATACAAGTAACAAATATTATACCTCTATAACATACACTTGATAGTTCGTGCATATTCGGCTTCTGTGTACGTCTTTGATTTGTACTCTTTTCAATCTAGAGTGACCAGTGACCAGTCTACAATATTTCTTCAAGTTGAGCATTGTGAAACATGTTATGAATTGATAACGACAATTGTATAGCTATCTGTACCGAGATAAGATCATACTTACATTAATATAGTGCGTAGTCCCGTGAATGTTTGTTTCTTTTGAGCTGCCGGACCCATTCCCGTCAAACACACTAACATATTATGAGTCTACCCTACCTCTGCCTTATCTTCAATTATACTTATACTGACTGACCTCACAGAAGTTTTACATCTTGTTTAAACCAAAAAACCCCGTTAAATCAATATACAAATTTATAAACATTTCAATATTAAAGAACCTGTCTTATCAAAATGTTCACTATTACTGACTAAAATGAACAACTCTCATGGTAAATGACCACGTTCAGGACCAAAATACCCTCTATCAGTTAATGTGATATCATATAAACTAGTTTGACCTTCACCACCTTCAATACCTTTATTTACAATGTTATTCCCCCACCAATCAACATATTTAGGATGAAATTGAACTGCAAAGAAAATAATAACAGCTGAAAATGCAACACCAGCATCCAAGGCAGCAGATAAAACATAATTATATTTTTCAAACCATGCAATATATTTTCTCTTGATATAATAGGCAAAGAAAAATGCAAAATACATAGCTGAAATAATATAAGAAAAATTATGTGGTGCCCAATTTATCATACCTGTAATGAAAACTGTTGGTTCAAAATTATTTGGTAATAACTTTGGCTTGAAATATCTAATTGCAATGAATAATAATGCAACCAAGAACCCAATTAAAAAAGCATATTTCATTGTTGGATAAAGACCATTGAAAACTTTTTTAGGACCAATAACACCCCATAAAACACTTGAAGAATAAAATGTACGTTCACCAGCACAAGTAAATTTTTGAGGTTGTTTTGGATCACACATACCTTCAATATTTGTCAATGACCAATTAACAACACCTAAAAATACAAATGCTTGAATAACAACACCTATTAATTGACCTCTAAACATAGCTCTAATTGGGACTCTTGTATAATGTGCAGATTTTTGACATGAAATAAAATTATCAGCTTGACCATCAATATTGTAACCAAGTGCTTTTAATGTCATCATAGCAACACCATTACCTGGCAAGGCATAACCAACAATCAATTCAACAAGAACATTTAATCCCACTTGTTGACCTGTAACTGAAAGTAAAATACATAATGGAACCAAAAAGGCAAAATTAATACCAACAGTAAAGAAAATACCCCAAACTGGTGTTTTTGTATCTGGATAAACTTTAACACAAAGAATAGCTAAAAATAAGGAAAATATTAGAATTCCCCAATAATATGAATCTGGAACTTCTTTATATTGTGCCATCATTTTAGAATGTGGATCATTATATTTTGCTAAAGTTGAACTTGCAAGATTTTTAGATTGATCAATTTCATTGGTGGTTTTCTTTCTTTTGAACATTTCACGATTTTTAATTGATTGAACAGTTTCTTTAGCATTTTCATACATTAGTGATAATGCAAAATGAATTGTTTTCCATTCTTTAGCTGTATTGTATAAAAATGCAAATGGATAAAACATGAAAAATGCGCTATAAAGAACAATATTACCAGCTGTGTAGAATGGTGGTGAATAATTTTGATATTTTTCATTATCTAATAATCCATTAGTTAAAACTTTTTCAACTTTGAATGAAGTACCTTCATTGGTGAAAATACCATTTGAATTAATAGGTAAATAACCTGACCATTTGTAATTTGAATAATAAATACCAACAATAGCGAAAAATGAAATAAACATACCAGCAAAAATATTAACACTAACATAGAATGGTAGCACCAAAGGTGAAATTAAACTAGTAATGATATTCCAATCAAATGTTGCAACTGGATTCAACCCTAATCCACTATTGAACCCAGTGATTGTTGTAAGATTAAAATTATTTGGTGAAATCCATGTAATCCAACTAAAAGTTGATAAAGCTTGAAATAAAAAATTTGGAAGCCAAAAATATATAAACATTGAGCCAAAAGCTGTCCAAAAAAATTTGAATTTGGAAATTTTCCATCCATTTATATTTTCCTTTCTTTCGGGTTTTAATAATGCACGATTCAAAGCAATTGATGGTAAAATAGTTGGCCACATTGATCTAACTGGGTAAATAACAAATTTTCTCAAAATTCCAGCAAATGAAAGTCCCATTAATTGAGTTGACATAACTAAAAGAAATTGGAAACCAAAAGTTAACCAATTTTGATGATAAAATTTAACTTGAGTAACAATATTATATGAAACATAAACATTAGCTGCAGCAACACTTGTCATTAAAGAAGCAAACATTTGCTCTTTAAAAAAATAAGGACCAGGATTTGTTTGTAATTTCTTACCGAAGAAATTAATTGTGACATTTGGAATAATATATTCCCATAATTTACCAGATGCATATAATAAGATAGAAACAACACTATTACTTAAAGAAATTGAAGGAAATCTATGAGCGAAAAATTCTTTAATACCACTTTGAATAGTCAACCAGATAATAGCTAATGTCCAGGATCTAATAGTTTCAATTGGTTCATTTGGATCATTAACCAAATCGGTAACAGCTCTAACTTCTGGATAAGGAGAATGATAATGAATTAATACAGCTGATAATTTTGCTTCAAAATTAATTTGTGAGTTTTCCTCGATATTAATATCATTATTAATAACAGATTCAATAAAATTCCAATCATAAATTGGGAAATTTGCATCACCTTCATGATCTTCATAAATTTGTTTAAAAATATTTAAAACTCTCACATTGGTCATATCAATAATTTTATCCAAAATAAATTTCAAATCAAATGTCAAATCATCTTTGTTATCATGATTTATATCATTACCATGACCAGTTTTGGTTAATAAATGTTGAATAGATTCATCACTTAATGTTTCAAAATATGCCACAATTCTTTCTTCATCAAATTGATTTTGATTCTTGTTTAAATCAGATTCACTAAATGAAATTTCATCATGAGAATTAATTTTGGACAACACGGTACCTTTGTTAACATCATATTCTAGTTCAATATTTTCTTTAATGTCAGATTTGTCTGCACTCATCTTGACCAACAAAAAAATATACAATGGTATTGAGATAAATTTGATCATGAGCCATGAATTCAAATAAAAATGAGATCATGTATCTTATTTATACCCTACATTATTCATAAGGATCCAACGAATATGGGGCTTGTCAAAGAGAATCAAGTACACATTTTCATTGTTTTTAACTCTCGAGCATATAATACCCAAAGTGCACCAAGCTTTCCCAAGAAATACCGATGATAACTTTAAGCACATTGTATTATTTAACTGTTTCATATGCCTATCAATTTCTTATCAATGCCATAGGCAATAGCAAAGTTTGGATTCATTTGACTCGTATGAATTTCACTCAAAGTATGTATCCTATATATAATGTGAATTATTATCTGCCTTGAACCTTCGATGGACTGTCGTATTACTGCATAACGGTGGGGATACTGTGTTTCAGTGGTAACTTATGATTTCACCATCATCAAGCCTTTAACAAACTTGTCTATCAAACAATCAAGAATCATATCATGACTCTGGGCTTGTAATTTAAAGCACAAATGCTAAAACTTGTTTTAAATTGCAGTTGAAGAAAAAGATATAAATTATCTACTTTAGGTAATATTCCCGATACGGCTAAGGTTGGATCAACTTAACCTTAAAATAAACCTGTCAGACGTCACCTTCAACGTTCGTATCTATCTCTGATAAAGCATAAATGTTTTGGTTGTCAAATTTTAAACTTCGCTAAAGGTTTCGAGATTTGTATATTTTCCAAGTAGTTTTAAGATTACATTGTTAATTTCAACTCTCTTAAATTTTAAAGTTTTATAGATTGAACGTTCGTCTTCGATTGAGGTATGGAGAATGGACCAATAAAATAGATAATTATGAGATTCAAACATCCATACCTACGTACTCTACTAATAAATCATAACTTATGAAAACTCAACGCAATCTTCCTTTATTCACGTTTTCTGAGTTGCGAAACTACTTTAAAAATCAACGGCACTGATCAGGATTCAGTGATCACTGATAAAGAGAAAAGGCAATTGTGCATATTTAAGCAGAAAACATATTTCCTCTTAAATACGTGTGTATTTACAGCTTGTATGTACACTATATGTTATGCAAAATCAATAATCACCAACCAAAATTTTCACTATGTAAATAAATTTCTTCAGCTTTATCTTGTAAAACATATCTTTGTAATTGTGAAACACCATTACCAACATCATTTTGAAAAGAATTTGTACCAGATACTATAAAGCAATTTTTACCTTTTGAAATTGGTAAAGATTGTAAATAATTTGTCATTTGAGGTTTAACGTTATAATGAATATTTAAATGATTTTTAAAGTTTCCATTGTCAATAAGATCAGTACTTGGTATCAATTTTGAAGTTTCTGGAGTAGATTCATCATCAGATTGCTTTGGAGTTATCTCATTTGAATTTGAAACATAAATATCAAATGAAAACCCATCAAGATTACCTTGTATTTCAATTATTTTATTTAAAGTAATAACCAACTCTTTAGAAATCCAATCAAGACAATCGATTGATCTTATAATCCAAACAAAATTCACTTCTGTTATAGCATTAGATCCAATTTCTAAATTTTTAACAATATACTCAAAAAATGACCATGTAACTGTAACTCCTGATCCTGTTGCTAATAATGTTACTTGATCAAATGATAATACATCTCTATTCATTCCACCATATGGACCATCAATATATGTTTTCAAAGTTCGATCACCTTTATTATTGAGGAGTGAATTATAAATTTTTCCAGTTAAACCTTTATGTGGTTTAACAATTAATTTAATTTCTGAATTTTTAGATGATGATGGAATTGACATTATTGAAAAAGGATGATTATCTAAAGTGGAGATTCCTAAAACAAATCTAATAAATATATGTTGACCTGGTTTCCAATTAAATTCATAAGTATTTGAAATTGGGATATTAACTTCAAAAATTCCAGAATCTTTATGAAGAGTTAAAAAAGCTAATTTTGATTTAAATGAATAAATATTTGGTTTAAAAGTTGTTTTAACAATTGCACGATGAATCATTTGGAAACACCAAAATCCCAAAGTTGCCCACATATAATTATCAGCTTTTAATTCACCATATATATGCCATGTTAATGCAGCAAAATAAACTAAACCTAAGATCCAATGTGAATGGAAAAATACCTCATAACATAATTTTCTTGAAAATCTTGTTGATAATAAACATAATAATAATAATGCAACAATTGCAAATATCCCATTTACATAAAGTGCATCTTCTTTTATAACTTTATTTAAATTTGAATAACCACCTTCTGCAACAGGTTGAGTGAAAAATGGAACTGTATGAACTAATCCAAGGAATAAACTACCCCAACCAAGACCTTGATGGAAAATATTTAATTTTTCATAACTTATACCTGTTATTCCACTAATAAAATTTGTTTTACCTGATAATAAATAAAGATATGGAGTTAATCCCATACACATTAAACCAGCACGAACAGCTAATGGTGGTGAACCAAAACCTTTACATGGTCTTATCCAAATTTTAGGAATGAAACAATAACAAAAAATAAATAAAGTTGAAGATATTATAATAAATAATGTTCCAAATGATGAAGGTAAACCAGTTATACGTGATATTATTATAGGTAATTTCTTATAAGATATATATCTTGAAACACCAATAATTTTATTCATAATTGATAATCTATAATGTTTAAACCCAATTTTTGAATTTCTATAACTATAATCATTATATTTAAAATAAATATTTTTCAAAAATGTAAGAAAGATTAAAACAATACCAAAATAAACCACATAATAACCATAATGTACTTGATATCCCCAAGCATTTTTACCAGATTGTGAAATTTTTTTCAAATCTTTATATAATTGATTATCTTTATCAGCTAAACAATCAAGACCTTTGTAAGTGACAGTCATGATGTGATGATGGTTTCTGATATGCCAATCAAATGTATGATTTACCGTATGTAGTTGTTGGATCTCATTATTATTATATAGGTATACTCAATTCAATTCATTGTTGCAACGATGCAACCATAATAAATTTGCTCGTGTATTTATTTGCTCGTTCAGATTGCAGAGATTTTTTACAATCTTGCAGATCGTTCAATAAACGTTTGATAAAATAACTCAACTTTAACAATCTTTGAATCAACTCTTGGGTTGAAAAGAGCATTATTAATTTTATATCCGTGAAATCCAATTGGATCAATAATAGTAGTAAATTTGTAAATTAAATAGGTTGCCTTATAAAGTGATATTTCCGGATATACATCAATTCTAATATAACTGAAAGTATTGATCGTGACAGTGTACATCCGCAGGTAATAGTGGTATTACATTAACAGACTTATCTAGGTAGAGAAATAAATAATGTATCCCATTCAACCCTAATTTATAGTTTTAATGATTTAATTAATGAGAAATTGCTGACTTTATATTATTGATTATATTGATTATATAATTGCTTAGTAATAATATCAATTATATCGATTGACACTTAAGATCCGTGAATATTATTAGAGTTATTCCTATTAATACTATATATTATATTGCTTTAACTTTTGAATCTAATATATATAAACGGAAAATATAATTAAGAATTCGAAGATCTCAAAATTTAACAATTTTGAAAAGCCAACCTTGTAAATTTTTATTCAGAATTTAAAAATTTATTTTTTGAGATTTAAAGATTTTTAATTAACGAAAATGGAAATTCCTGTATTATGATAAAGGGATGATAGAATAGAGAAAATTCCATGATATTGAAAGTATAAGAGTAACAAGTTTCCTTCAAATAATTACTAGTTAATTTGGTTTGAAGACATAGAGTGCAAATTCTGGCGTTTCGGCCGAGAATAACACCACCATATAAATCGCGAAAACTTTGGAATAAATAAAAATTGTGGTTGGGATTAAATAAGGGATGTTGATTATACTTTCAATTAAATCACATCTTTAATCATCAATATGTCTTCTGATGAAACATCTGATTTCATTTTCAATGTTTCCAAAAATGCAATTGAAAAAAAAAATCTCCAAACAAATAAAAAAAACAATTGATTTACTAAATATATATGATTTATATCATCAAAATGTTGATATAACAAGTACAAATGATCGACAAAATGTTATTGAAGTTTTATCAAAATATAGAAAACAATTTGATAAGAGTCGAAAAAAAGATCAATTGAAGGGGAAAATTAATTATAAATCTACAAATAAAAGACCAAAAAACGAATTAACCAAAAACAATGAATTGAAAAAATCCAAAAAATTAGATCCGTCTAATGAAAATCAACAAGAAATTGATCAAGACAATGTGAAATCATTTGAAGAATTATCAAACGTTACACCAGCTCAAATGTTTTATAGTCAATCTTTAAATCAACAACCACCATTAAATACACCACCAACTTATCATTTTCAACAACATTATCAAATGACATCATTACCACCACAAAGATATGCACCACCACCACATCCTCAACCAGTTTATCATACTTATCCAACATATAATAATACACCAAACAATTTCCCCTTCTCACCTGTACCAAGTTCACATTCAAGTCAAAATGAAGCAAATGAGGAACATCAAACATCACAAAGATCTTTAGAAGAAGAATCTTCAAGTTCAGAAGAAGAAAATTCAAATGAAGAAAATGATTATGATACATTGGTGAAAACAGCAAAAGATATAAGATCTAAAGGGGCATTGACAAAAGCCTATATATCTGAGATACAATGTGTGAAAGCAATTAAAAGTCATAAAATGTGTGGTTATAATGGTTATAAATTGTTGTTAAGACATAAAAAATCAACTAAAACCTTACTTATTGCATCTTTGCGCCAATTAGCAAGAATAGATGTTGACACATTTCTCAATTTATGCAAACTTGGAGGTATAGTGCCACCATATGGTGCAATATTGAAAGTTGAGGATCAATTTTTAGGAAAATCTAATGAATAAAATGATTTGAATTTATAAATAATTCTTTTCGTACGAGTAAATTTATCAACAATGTCGCGAAGAAGCTTATTCGGGTAAAAAAAAATTCAAAACAAAACAACAATAAAAACGCGTACTTTATTTAATGTTTAATACCCGTCTACTTAGTACTTTGAATTAACTTCAAACTTTTGAAAATTTAATTATACCATGGGAATATGAATCATCCAGTGAGATATTTACTACCATCTGATGGGTTCACAGCTGCACCTGGATATCATCCATCACCAAATTTCATACCGCATGAGTTACCAGGAAGTACTACTAATCGTGAACGTTTTATACGTGAAGAAACAAATTCAATGAGAACTTTTGAAACTTATATGGATATTTCATTAAAATGTAACTTTAAAGTTTGGGGTGAAGCTGTTAGTCCATATGATCGAGAACAACTGGCTCATGATATTAAAAAATTTATGTCATGTATACCAAGACCAATTAATTTTGTTGAAGTTTCAAAAGTTATAATGAAATTTGCAGATCAAAATTTAAGAGATTCAATTCAAAAAAGTCAAATTCCAACAATTTATCAATTCCCTAATGAGGAAGAATTATGTACTCATTTTTTTTATTTAATGATTCCACGTCGCCAAGTTAGAAAATGTGTTAATGAAAAACAAAAGGAAATTATTTCTTTCCAACCTATAAGAAATGTCAATGATTTTATTAAATGGAAAGAATTTATGTTGAACTCTTCACATTATATCAGTTTTGAATTAACAAGAACTATACTAGATATGATTATGGTCTCAGGAATTTTTGATTCTTTAAATATTGATAAACATTTAATAGATTTACAATTAGATCTCAGAAATATTGATAATTTGACTATTAAACAATTAGTCCATAAAATTGAATATTATATTTACCAAGAGAATATTTCATTTGGTGAATATAAAACAACTTTTAACAATCTACCCACATCTCCAATGATAACAAGTGATATTAATAATCCAAACAATTTCCATTCTTCACCTTTTTATAAACAACAACAAGAACATTTGATTTTTAACTACCACCACCAAGAACAAGAACAACAACAACAAGAAGAAAAAGAAAATATTGTAGTGAAAAAAGAACAAGTTGAAATACCAGAAAGTGTAACGTTACCAATTCAGTCACAAGATGAATTACAATTAAGAACAGCTGAAAATTTGGCTGTTAGTATTTTAAATCAACCTATACAACCTCAAATTTCCGATATACCAAATATGCAAGAATCATCATCAGCATCATCACCTTTATCTTCATTACCAGAATCTTCAATTAGTCATATAACAGAAAGAAATAGAATTAAAATACCTCAAAATGCACCAAATTATCAAGGGAAAACACTTGTTGTTTTACCCCCAAACCCAATTATCAATAAACCACCGCAAGTTCAAGAGCCAACACCGGATCCTTCATTACCTTTAGAAGAATCTAATGATGAAGAAAACTTGAGAAATTTAATACCTTTAGCATCGTTAATGAATTCAAGAAGTATGACTAAAGACTCTTCACCAACTAGAAAAAGAACATCTAATTCTAATTCACCAAGAAAATCAAAAATTCAAAAATCATCAATTGAACCGGAACCAACAAATCACGGTGAAAGCTTGACAAATGTTGAGACAAATGATACGACATCAACAGCCCAGGAAAGTACTAGCACTATAACTAATACTGCAACAACAACACAACCTTCACTATCCAATAATAAAGATTCAAATTATAAAGTATCATCATCAAATGAAAATGTTTCAACTACAGCACCAATTTTAAATGAACAACCAGCTCCGACACAAACAGTTGTACCTTTATTGAAAACGTTGGATTATGAATCAATCCAAGCTATAACTAAAATTACCAAGAATAACACTCAATATTTTGTTTATATTGAACTTGAAAATGGTCAAAGAGCAAGAGCTTTTATAGAACTATTTAGATCAATGAATCCTAAATTATTCAAAATGTTTTGTGATAGAGGCCAATTTGAAATTGCTGCTAGACATTTGAAACGTATTGAAGATCAATACATTGAAGCAGGAAACGATTCAGATGCTGATTATGAAGACGATGAAGTGTCTGATGAGTAAAATAATTAATAAACATTGATAAACATTAATTAGCATTAATAAGCATTTTCATGTACACAACGGGGAAATCATTCCATTTTTGTAAATTTATCCCGTATAATTCCTTTTTTTTTTAATTTTGATTCTTTCATTTAACCGGCATAAGAACTGGGCAACAAAAACCAAAAAAAAAAAGTAAGAACCCAAATTATACGTCTTCGGTTATTTTCAACTTTCAATATCTACAATTTTGGATTTACACATATATTTAGGGTTGATTCTCTATTAAATGAAGTTTTCTGTTCTCCTTTGTCGAAGAAAATTGTACAACAATCAATTACAATGAACTCACAAAAGAAGGAAAATAATTATATTGAAGAGGAATATCAACAAGTAAAGTTATCACCCTCGTTTGAAGAAATATCTAAACCAAGATTGGTAACTTTTGTGTCTTTGATGGTGATATCACAATTCTTAACCCAATCAGCTTTAGCACAAACAGCTGTACCATTTAGTTATATAGCTCAAACTTTCAAAACTGAAAATCCAGGTGAAATAAGTTGGTTCAGTGCATCTTATTCCTTAACAGTTGGAACATTTATTTTAGTTGCTGGACAATTGGGTGATTTATTTGGTTATAAAAAACTATACATTATTGGTTATTGTTGGTTTGGTGTTTGGAGTGTTGTATGTGGATTCTCAGCTTTTTCAAAAAACCATATATTTTTTGATGTAACAAGAGCTTTAGCTGGTATTGGTCCTGCTATTTGTGTTCCAAATTCATTAGCATTATTAGGAAATTATTTCCCACAAGGATCAAGTTATAAGAATATTTCAATGTCTATATTTGGGGGTGTTGCACCTTTTGGATTCATTATAGGAGCAATATTTTCTTCATTAATATCACAAAAATCATGGTGGCCATGGCAGTTTTGGATTTTCGGAATTTTATGTTTCCTTATCGCAGTTTTAGGACTTTTCTTTATACCCAATGGAATTTATCATTTACAACAAGATAAATGGAAAAAATTTGATATTTATGGATCTATTAGTGGTGTTATTGGACTTGTATTGTTTAACTTTGCGTGGAATCAAGGACCTGTCACC